TCCGCTGTGAGTGTGTGTCCGCTGTGAGTGTGTGAGTGTGTGTCCGCTGTGAGTGTGTGTCCGCTGTGAGTGTGTGAGTGTGTGTCCGCTGTGAGTGTGTGAGTGTGTGTCCGCTGTGAGTGTGTGAGTGTGTGTCCGCTGTGAGTGTGTGAGTGTGTGTCCGCTGTGAGTGTGTGAGTGTGTGTCCGCTGTGAGTGTGTGTCCGCTGTGAGTGTGTGAGTGTGTGTCCGTCACTAACGCTGATGTGTGCAGGTTAGCATATACCTGCCGCCGCTGTGAGTGTGTGAGTGTGTGTCCTCTGTGAGTGTGTGAGTGTGTGTCCGCTGTGAGTGTGTGAGTGTGTGTCCGCTGTGAGTGTGTGAGTGTGTGTCCGCTGTGAGTGTGTGAGTGTGTGTCCGCTGTGAGTGTGTGAGTGTGTGTCCGTCACTAACGCTGATGTGTGCAGGTTAGCATATACCTGCCGCCGCTGTGAGTGTGTGAGTGTGTGTCCGCTGTGAGTGTGTGAGTGTGTGTCCGCTGTGAGTGTGTGAGTGTGTGTCCGTCACTAACGCTGATGTGTGCAGGTTAGCATATACCTGCCGCCGCTGTGAGTGTGTGAGTGTGTGTCCGCTGTGAGTGTGTGAGTGTGTGTCCGCTGTGAGTGTGTGAGTGTGTGTCCGTCACTAACGCTGATGTGTGCAGGTCAGCATATACCTGCCGCCGCTGAAGACCATGAGGAGCGTCGTCGACCGCATGAAGAACCTCTCCAACTATCTGGTCAGTTCACTGAGACTGAGATGCAGGATATTAGTCCCGCCTTCTAATTAAACAGCCAATCAGCAGTCCGTAAAGTGCCAACTGCCAACCGATTGGTCATGTGATCAGTGTTTGGTCATGTGATCCGAAGGCCTCATCAACACGACAACGGTTTTCCTCTGTACAGATATTAATATAAGACGATATTAAAATGATTCCCGTTCGCACGGATCCGCGGAAACGGCTAAAAACGCTGTATTGTTATTCAGGCCAGAGAAGCAATTGTTTACAAACTTTACACTGAGATGATAACAGTATCGTTTAAACTCATTTTCAAAAACTTGCACTTTGAAACCTGTCTCAGTAGCCCCTTTCACACAGAGATTCCGGAAAATACACGGATAAAGCGACCCGGGATTTGACCCGGGTTCGTTTGATTTTGCTTCATTCACACTGCAGTGATTTGCCGGAATCAGAGAGCGCGTTCACACACAAGCCGTGTGTGTTCCGGAAAGACGCGTGACATCGATGTGACATGTATACGTGTATAGTTTGCTTATGAGCTGCGACTTCTCTCTGGAGAAACCACGCTTGTGCATTTTTTTCTCTGATTCGATCATACTAGCGCATTACGTACCGTTTCACTAGCCTGCTTTCACTTCACTTCAGCATCATCATTACGACACGCCATTGGTTACGGCTTTTGTTCCGGGTCTGAACACGGCAATGTTACTCGGTCCCCGACCCGGCATCGATCCCGGCATCAGTCCCGGGCCGTGTTTGCCTTCACACAGAAGGCACTCTGGCAATTTGCCGGGTTCAAAGCGCTGTGTGAAAGGTGTGTTCTCGAGCTCAAACCCTGTCGAGCGGCCGGATCGCATTAAGGGTTTCTGTGTTCTGTAGAGCGGTGTCGTGTTAGCGGCCGCTAAGCTAATCGCTAATGATCTTTACAACGGAAGTGAATCAATCAAGCTAACTTTAGCTGGACAATAACTTTATTCTAGAGCTGCTGTAAAGCCAGAACAGTCTCTGTTACTGTAATCTCCTGTTATCACTGTAAAGCTGCTGTGAGGAGTGTGTGTGTGTGTGTGTGTGTGTTAAAGCGCTGTATAGATGAACGAGACGTGACTGTGTTTCAGGTGATGGAGGCGAATATGAACGGGGAAATGAATCTCAAGATTGAAACGGACCTGGTTTCTGTCACAACACACTTCAAAGAGCTGGGGAACCCACCCTGGGGTGAGAGACACACACACACAGTGCTGATAGTGTTGTGTGTGTGCGTGTGTGTAGTACTGATAGTGTGTGTGTGTGTGTCCCTCAGGTGAGGACGGGTCTCAGAGCACCAGTGCAAGTCACAGAGACTCAGAGGTCATGGCTCAGACACGCCTGGACATCCGGAAACTGCAGCAGTTCCTGACGGGACAACAGGTCAATCCCAGCAAAGCCATGTGCAGTAAGAACATCACCACACACACCTGCGCACACACCTGCACACACACCTGTGCATACACCTGCACGCACACCTGCGCGCACACCTGCACACACACACACCTGCGCATACACCTGCACACACACCTGCACGCACACCTGCACACACACACACCTGTGCATACACCTGCACGCACACCTGCGCGCACACCTGCACACACACACACCTGCGCATACACCTGCACGCACACCTGCACGCACACCTGCACACACACCTGCACACACACCTGCACACACACCTGCACACACACCTGTGCATACACCTGCACACACACCTGCACACACACCTGTGCATACACCTGCACGCACACCTGCACACACACCTGCACACACACACACCTGCGCATACACCTGCACACACACCTGCACGCACACCTGCACACACACCTGCACGCACACCTGCACACACACCTGCACACACACCTGCGCATACACCTGCGCATACACCTGCACACACACCTGTGCATACACCTGCACACACACCTGCGCATACACCTGCACACACACCTGCACGCACACCTGCGCATACACCTGCACGCACACCTGCACACACACCTGCACGCACACCTGTGCATACACCTGCACACACACCTGTGCATACACCTGTGCATACACCTGCACACACACCTGTGCATATACCTGTGCATACACCTGCACACACACCTGCGCATACACCTGTGCATACACCTGCACACACACCTGCACACACACCTGCACACATACCTGCACACACACCTGCGCATACACCTGCACACACACCTGCGCATACACCTGCACACACACCTGCGCATACACCTGCACACACACCTGCACACACACCTGCGCACACACCTGTGCACACACCTGCACACACACCTGCGCACACACCTGCACACACACCTGCACACACACCTGTGCATACACCTGTCCTGTATATACTCTCAGCATTTTACTTAAAATGCCTGTTCTGTTGTTGTTTTTTACCTAGATATAGTTCACAATAGGATCCTTCACCTGATCTTCCTGCATGAGGATGTTTCTCTTCAGTACTTCATCCCAGCTGTGGTGTGACTGACTGTGGTGTGACTGGTGTGACTGACTGTGGTATGTGGTGTGACTGTGGTATGTGGTGTGACTGACTGGTGTGACTGACTGTGGTGTGACTGACTGTGGTGTGACTGACTGTGGTGTGACTGACTGTGGTGTGACTGACTGTGGTGTGACTGACTGCTGTGGTGTGACTGACTGCTGTGGTGTGACTGACTGCTGTGGTGTGACTGACTGTGGTGTGACTGACTGTGGTGTGACTGACTGCTGTGGTGTGACTGACTGTGGTGTGACTGACTGTGGTGTGACTGACTGCTGTGGTGTGACTGACTGCTGTGGTGTGACTGACTGTGGTGTGACTGACTGCTGTGGTGTGACTGACTGTGGTGTGACTGACTGTGGTGTGACTGACACTGGTGTGACTGACTGTGGTGTGACTGACTGTGGTGTGACTGACACTGGTGTGACTGACTGTGGTGTGACTGACTGTGGTGTGACTGACTGTGGTGTGACTGACACTGGTGTGACTGACTGTGGTGTGACTGACTGCTGTGGTGTGACTGACACTGGTGTGACTGCTGTGGTGTGACTGTGACTGTGGTGTGACTGTGACTGTGGTGTGACTGACACTGGTGTGACTGACTGTGGTGTGACTGACTGCTGTGGTGTGACTGACACTGGTGTGACTGCTGTGGTGTGACTGTGACTGTGGTGTGACTGTGACTGTGGTGTGACTGTGACTGTGGTGTGACTGTGACTGTGGTGTGACTGACACTGGTGTGACTGCTGTGGTGTGACTGTGACTGTGGTGTGACTGTGACTGTGGTGTGACTGTGACTGTGGTGTGACTGTGACTGTGGTGTGACTGACACTGGTGTGGTGTGACTGTGGTGTGACTGACTGCTGTGGTGTGACTGTGGTGTGACTGTGACTGACACTGGTGTGACTGACTGTGGTGTGACTGTGGTGTGACTGTGGTGTGACTGTGGTGTGAGGTCTGAGAACCCGCAACGAGGCATTCGGCTTATACGCAGAGTATCTAAACAAGCCTATTCATCTGTTCAGAAGGGTTTCAAAGGGGCAGTTGGGCTCTTTTTACTAAAAATAACACTTTGTTTTTGGAGTTTCCTATGTAAATGTGTGTATATATGAATAAAATGATTGTTTTATAATAGTATTTCTATTTAGAGCATTTATTTTGTCCACCATAAACATTCCAAAGTTATGAATAAATATGGTGCTTTTCACAAGAGATTGTTCCAAAGCATCTTTATGGAAGATTCTGCTGTAAAGCCCACCTTAAGCGAGTAATTGTTTGAGAGTTTGGAGGAGATGAAATGAAATATACTTTATTGTCCCTGATAGGGATATTTGTAATGGACTCCATAGCCAACATTTCGCCAAAAACCTGATACATTAAAAAAAACATACACATAAAAATAACTAGACATCACTAATTCATGTTCAACAGTCTAATTAATACCGGTACAAAAGAGTTTTTAAACCTGTTCCGTTTCTAACGGAGAGTTTTGTACCTTCTAGACGATAAGAGTTCATCAGAGTACATGAGACGGGTCATTAAAGTCATTTTAGCCTCGTTTAATGTGCTTTGCCTAACCCTAACCTAACCCTACCCCAGAGTCTGAATACTGGGATAGTCTTTCAGTCCAGTCATTTTCATCGAAGTTCGAACAATATATAGTATCTTTGATTTAGATTTTACAGAAAGATTACCATACCAAGTGGACAAGCCATATCTGGATCACACTTTCTGTAGTACAGACTGATAAAAAAGGAACATAATTTTCCTTTCAAACCACAATCTCAAAAAAATACAACCTCTGGTGAAGTCTTTCACACACCCACTGAACATGTTGTTAAGAGCTGCAAGTAAAAGGCTGGTCAAGTTCAGCGGTGGGAGAAGGGAGAGAAGAAACAAGGAGTTCTGTAACTGACTGAAGCAATCAATTGTGACTGACCCACCGCTTTCGGACCGGCCGAGACACTCAGAGGCGCCTCAGGGCTTTTATACCCCACACTGGAGACACGAGTCTCGGCTGCGGTGACACGCGTCGTGTGGCTCTTTTACTCATTTAAAGCGTTTATATGTATTATTATAATAAAAATATGGTTTCATTTAAACTCTACAAATCTCATTGAAGGTGAAATTTCGATGTTTTATGTCGTTTCTGTGATTCAAAGCGTTGCATGATGGGAAACGCCTGCGTGGTGGCATCACGTGACGCGCGCGAAACAGAATCAAAACAGTATGATTTATGTTATTGAAGGCGTTCATATTGTAACAATTGTAATCATTCAAATGTATTAATTTTATGGATTGGTGCATGAGATATAAATGAAAATTGGGACAGGTTTTTAACAGTGTTGTCTGGTAATCAACACCGGCTGTGATTGGCCGATCCTGTGCACGCGCTGAGAAAGGTAAATTGTGAGAAACAACAATTTACATGCATCGAAGAATCTTAAAGCTCTTAAAACAATAAACTTGTTTCAACTTTTTAATTAATTTCATTAACGTTGTCTGTTCTTCTTTATTGTGTGTATGTATATGCTATAACCCATGTATATGTATGTGATGCTTTGCTTTTTTTTTATCATTTCGTTACATTTTTATTATGTAGCCTACTTATATTCTATATATGATACCTTGGCATTAATAAATAAAAACTCCTGAATTATGACACTGGCCAACTTTAATAAACTGAAGAGTTCTGTCAAGTCACATTGTACGATTCACGCCTAGTTTCGTTCCACTGCTTCTACATGAACTGCATTAGAGCGTCGATAAAAGATAATAAAGACCGGAAACTAGGAATGTTTGAGATTTATAACTTTATTTATTGAGATACTCTGCTGCAAAATTCCCTCTTTACAGCCACAGCAAATGAAATATGTATAATATAAAATAATTCTTAACGAGCTGAGAAAACACTTCTGATCTTCCGATAAAACATGCATCATTTCAAGAAGTAAAAGATTGAATGCACGAATTTTAATTATTAATAATTAGTAATTAATATTAATGTGCTATTTTAATATTTTAACTTTCACAAAAGAAACAACTTTCTTCCCAAAGTGTTTTTCTGCGTTCAGTGGCAGTACTGATGGAATCAGGTCGAAGTAGCCTATTACTATATTCATAACCGGGTATTTCCACAGTAACTCGCAGAAGCTACTACAGTTATTACACCAGTTCACCTGAAAACACACACACACACACACACACACACACACACACACACACACACACACACACACACGCACTCTCTCTCTCTCTCTCTCTCTCTCTCTCTCTCTCTCTCTCTCTCTCTCTCTCTCTCTCTCTCTCTCTCTCTCTCTCCACACACACACACACGCACTCTCTCTCTCTCTCTCTCTCTCTCTCTCTCTCTCTCTCTCTCTCTCTCTCTCTCTCTCTCTCTCTCTCTAAATTACATTTCTGATATAAAGAATGATAATTTTAACCAGTGAAAACTGAATTGTTGAGTAAAAATCATGTGAATGATTTAATCGGCTTGCCATAATTTATGAGAATTACTGACACAAACTCTCAATCTAACAGTTTGCGGTGACTTTAAACCTAGTGATTTATTCATGCACTTTTGGGCTTCAGAGTTTGTTTTTAAGCTGTTGTTGTTGTTGTTTCACTTCTTCAGATTGACTCGTTCCGAATATCACGTGACGCGTTTGGATGCCAAAACATGCTAACTAGATTTAGACTCTGGCATTATGTTTTTGTCTTTATAGTGTGTATAGCCTATACTTTACTGAGTGAACGAACCCCCCTCCCTCCACACACACACACACACACGGGCGCGCGCGCACTGAACACATCGGGAGACTGAGCTCCAGTGCCTGTGATGCTCTTCATCAGTGAGCAGCTGAACACACACACACACACACTGAACACACTGATCTGTGGATCTTCTGTTTGCCTCAGAACTGGATCGGAACCGAAGATGAATCCCGCGTGCGCGCGCTGCGCGAGAACCGTGTACCCGACGGAGAAGATCAGCTGCCTCGACAAGGTGACACTTATTTACTCCATATTTACTCCATATTTACTCCAACACAAACACAACTACTGTCAGAACTTCATCTAGAGCTGCAAACCTCGGGCTGTGTGTGAAACACGTAATATATGATATATTACACAGTGTGTAAATCAAACTTTACTGTGTTTATCTCTGTTTCGCTGCTCTGAATTCTCATTCATGTCTTACATAATGAGCTTCATGTTTTATTCATAGTCTTACTGTGCTGAGCGACATTAGAAGAGTTTGTTCTGTGGAGTATTTTATTCAAAATAAAGAAAATAAAAAAATTAAACATTTGTATTGCTGTAACAAATGATACCATTACCATGGTACTGTTTCTGTGTAAATATCACAGTACTTGAACATCACATCTGTCAGAATACCATAGTTTCCAACCATCACTGAAACACTCAATAATATTTCATGAATCAATATTATCGGTCTGTGATTGATGATGTCATGAAGTCTCTGGTCTCTGGTGTTTATCAGCGACTCTTCATTCGTGTCAGTGACTAAAACAGTGTGTGTGTTTGTTGTGTTCAGAACTGGCACAAAGGCTGTTTCCACTGTGAAGTGTGTAAGATGACGCTCAACATGAAGAACTACAAAGGCTACGACAAGAAGCCCTACTGTAACGCGTGAGTGTGTGTTACACACACGAGATGTCAGTCACACAGTCACACACACACACGAGATGTCAGTCACACAGTCACACACACACGAGATGTCAGTCACACAGTCACACACACACACGAGATGACAGTCACACACACACGAGATGTCAGACACACACACACGAGATGTCAGACACACACACGAGATGTCAGTCACACACACGAGATGTCAGTCACACAGTCACACACACACACGAGATGTCAGTCACACACACGAGATGTCAGTCACACAGTCACACACACACGAGATGTCAGTCACACACACACGAGATGTCAGTCACACACACACGAGATGTCAGTCACACACACACGAGATGTCAGACACACACACGAGATGTCAGTCACACACACGAGATGTCAGTCACACAGTCACACACACACACGAGATGTCAGTCACACACACGAGATGTCAGTCACACACACGAGATGTCAGTCACACAGTCACACACACACGAGATGTCAGTCACACACACACGAGATGTCAGTCACACAGTCACACACACACACACGAGATGTCTGTCACAGTCACACACACACGAGATGTCAGTCACACACACACGAGATGTCAGTCACACACACACGAGATGTCAGTCACACACACACGAGATGTCAGTCACACAGTCACACACACACACGAGATGTCAGTCACACACACACGAGATGTCAGTCACACAGTCACACACACACACACGAGATGTCAGTCACACAGTCACACACACACGAGATGTCAGTCACACACACACGAGATGTCAGTCACACACACACGAGATGTCAGACACACACACGAGATGTCAGTCACACACACGAGATATCAGTCACACAGTCACACACACACACGAGATGTCAGACACACACACGAGATGTCAGTCACACACACGAGATGTCAGTCACACAGTCACACACACACACGAGATGTCAGTCACACACACACGAGATGTCAGTCACACAGTCACACACACACACACGAGATGTCTGTCACACAGTCACACACACACACGAGATGTCAGTCACACAGTCACACACACACGAGATGTCAGTCACACAGTCACACACACACACGAGATGACAGTCACACACATACACGAGATGTCAGACACACACACGAGATGTCATTCACACACACGAGATGTCAGTCACACAGTCACACACACACACGAGATGTCAGTCACACACACACGAGATGTCAGTCACACAGTCACACACACACACGAGATGTCAGTCACACAGTCACACACACACGAGATGTCAGTCACACAGTCACACACACACACGAGATGACAGTCACACACACACACGAGATGTCAGTCACACACACGAGATGTCAGTCACACAGTCACACACACACACGAGATGTCAGACACACACACGAGATGTCAGTCACACACACGAGATGTCAGTCACACAGTCACACACACACACACGAGATGTCAGTGACACACACGAGATGTCAGTCACACAGTCACACACACACACGAGATGTCAGTCACACACACGAGATGTCAGTCACACAGTCACACACACACAAGATGTCAGTCACACACACGAGATGTCAGTCACACAGTCACACACACACACGAGATGTCAGTCACACAGTCACACACACACACAAGATGTCAGTCACACAGTCACACACACGAGATGTCAGTCACACATACGAGATGTCAGTCACACAGTCACACACACACACACACACACACACACACACACACACGAGATGTCAGTCACACAGTCACACACACACACACACACACACACACACACAAGATGTCAGTCACACAGTCACACACACACGAGATGTCAGTCACACACACGAGATGTCAGTCACACAGTCACACACACGAGATGTCAGTCACACAGTCACACACACACACGAGATGTCAGTCACACACACGAGATGTCAGTCACACAGTCACACACACACACGAGATGTCAGTCACACAGTCACACACACACACGAGATGTCAGTCACACAGTCACACACACACACAAGATGTCAGTCACACAGTCACACACACA